TTCAAGGTAACTATCAGTGTTTTTATTTTGTTACATGCTATACTTTAACAATATTATTACTCTCTAATGGACAACTAAACAGAGCTCTATTGGTGCAATTGACGGTACCCACATTGATGCCCGAATACCCAACCACGAGAAGGTAGCATACATCGGTCGTAGTGGTGCAACAACGCAAAATGTCATGGTTGTATGCGACTTCAACATGTGTTTTACTTTTGTGGTTGCGGGATGGGAAGGGAGTGCACGTGATAGTCAGATTTTCTCCTTTGCCACGAGGAATAGATCGAAGTGTTTCTCTAACCCCCTATCAGGTTAGTTTTGTTTAGATATGAATATGTGGGATTGTGCAATTTTTTATTAACATTATTTTTTATACCAGGAAAATATTATCTGGTTGATGCAGGATATCCTATGCAAAGCGGATACCTGAAGCCTTACTCTGACACAAGATATCATTTTCTTGATTTCGAGCGAGCTAGTGGCACAGTTCGTGGCATAAAGAAAATGTTTAATAAATGCCACTCATCTTTACGAGGGGTAATTGAAAGAACATTTGGAGTTTGGAAGAAGAAGTGGGTCATCTTACGTGATATGCCGTCGTATCCTTTCCAAAAGCAGGTGTACATTGTGGTTGCAACAATGACACTACATAACTTCATCCGAAGACATTTCTCGCAATCAGATACAAACTTCAGTATGACTGACAATGATGAACTCAATGCTTTCGAGCAACCAACAGGACTTGTAGGGGGACATTCATTACCTGAGGAGGATATAGAATCTAATGATTTTGGAGATCAAGATGCTGAAAGTTTGGCTGATATGATTGCTTAAAGGGAGTCTATCACAGATGCTATTTGTGGTTGTTGATCTACCAAATTTTCTTTTAATAAGATTATAGGTTTGCATTCATACGCATTTAATTTTGATTTTTTTATAAAATACCTTAAGCTGACATTTCATTCTTTTGTTATTTTCACAGTTATACCAACATGACCTCCAGAATATCATGTACAGACAAAGGGATTTTGTGTTATTGTGGACTACCGTCTCC